CTCTACTCTACTCTATTCTTGTTCCTGTTCCATTTCATTCCACTCTATTCATTTCATCAGATGCATTTCATCAGAGTAGCTCAACCGATGTAAGGAGGAAGAGACAGAGAGTGGTTTTGCTGACGCAAGACTGAGCACTTTATTCTATTCTGTTCTGTTGTTCTATTTTCTACTCTACTCCCACAGCAAACCTGTTCTGTTCTATTCCATGTTCTGTTCTTTTCTACTCTACTCTATCTATTCTTGTTCCTGTGCATAATATGCCTGACATCGCTGACTGCGTTCTTCCCTGCCCAGTCACTCCTTAAGGTATTTCTTTTTTTCCCCCTCCCAACGATCAGCTGTTCCAATGATCAGCTGTTCCGGGATTCCCCTCACTTACTTACTGTTTCGCCCAGGAGGCTTTCGCCCTTCATTTTTTGCCTTCCTCAGGCTCCCCTGAGGCCCAAAAATGGGAGGGTGCTGCAAAAAAGAGGAAGCCACACCCACCCAGTCACATGACCATGCCCATCTAGCCATGCCCACAGAACCGGTTGTTTCGAAATTTGAATCCCACCCCCAGAAGTTGTGCTGAGGAAAATATCTACAGACCCCCTCACATCCTGGACATCAACTCTTCCTGACAGTTAGAACAATTAATCAGTGGAACAGGCTAATTGCCTTCAGAAGTTGTCGGTGATCCATCACCAGAGGTTTTCAAGAAAAGCCTGGACAGCTATTTGTCTGAAATGGTATAAGGGTTACTGCTTCAGCAGGGGGTTGGACTAGAGGATCTCCAAGGTCCCTTCCAACCCTGTTGTTCTGGTATTGCAGACCAAAACCACCAGACACAGGGGCAGCTTTTTCCCTCATGCCATCACTCCGCTGAACACCCAATCCTCACAGCATTGTTTTGTAGGTCGAAGTATATTTACCCATGTTATATGGCTGTGGTATTACTATTAGAACCATAGTGGCACAGTGCTTAGAACGCAGTATTGCAGGCTAATTCTGTCAACTGCCAGCGGTTCGATCCTGACTTGACCATCCTTCCATCCTTCTGAGGTGTGTAAAATGAGGACTCAGACGGTTGGGGGCCATAGGCTGACTCTGTAGAACCACTTAGAGAGGGCTGTAAAGCACTATGAGGCAGTATAGAAGTCTAAGTGCTATTGCTATTATCCTTCTCATCTTCTCTATTACCCGTCTTATTGGTATCATTATTATGTTTATTATTACTGTGTTGTTGTGCATGTACACTGAGAGCTTCTAAACCAGAGACAAATACCTTGTGTGTCCAACCAGACTTCGCCAAATAAAGTACAGTCTTCTATTCTGTTCTCTTCTGTTCTACTCTACTCTCTTCCATTCTATTTCCTATTCTGTTCTGTTTTATTGTTCTAATTTCTACTCTACTCTAGCAGCAAACAGTTCTGTTCTGTTCTACTCTATTCTGTTGTTCTCTATTTTATTCTGCACTATTCCCTGTTCTACTCTATTCTATTCTGTTCTTTTTTACTCTACTCTACTCTACTCTACTCTACTCTACTCTACTCTACTCTACTCTACTCTACTCTACTCTACTCT